TACCATTTATTTAGGTTGGATGGAAGCTCCAGAAAAGAGATATTTTAGGGAGCAAGTCTGTGATCCTTTCTTAAGACACTAGAAATACGTAGGCATTTGATAAAGACAAATAGTTAGAGAACAGAAAGGCAATTTAAAACTCCATGAAAAACAAAAAGCTGTACAAGCAGAGCAATAGTATCATTGCACTTAACTTGGTTAATCACCGTCACAGAGAAAGCCTGGACTTGTGTTTCAACATAGGGCAAGACCTTTTAGAGCAAAGTACATTCTTAGGGTAAACCAATATTTATTGAGCATCCATTATGTGTCAGTACCTTCTTGAATATAATTACCTTTTATAAAATACAACTTCACTGTGGGAAAAATAACATAGAAAAAATAAGAAAGTAGCCTTAAATTGTGCAGTGACTTAGTAGCACATTTGAATTCAAACCTGATCTGTTTGCTTTGAGAGCCTAAGTTCCCTTCTCCCCATGCTGCTCTCACCCAAGATGTAGGCAGAACAGTTGCAGAAATGACTGTCAGCCACCTAAAACTATAAGTACAATGTTTTAATCACAAATATATTGGTTAGCAGCAGTAGGAGTCTAAAATAAAGCTACCCCAAACTGAAGCACAATATTTATCCCCAGCCAATGCATATTAATTAATAATTAGCCAATTATTCTACCATAGTAACACTGAGGGTAGCATTTATTAGAGCCCTTAAATTAGTGGTTCTCAACCAGGGGTGATGGTGCCCCAAGGGGACATTTGGAAATGACTGGGGGAGTGCTCCTGGCATCTAGCGGGTTGACACCAAGAATGCTGTTAAATATCCCACAAAGCACAAGATATTCCCACTCCCACCCCAACAAAGAATTATCCAGACTAGAACATTGGCCATGCTGAGGTTGAGAAAACCTGCCCTTAAAAAAAAGAGCATATGCAGAAAAGGCAACAAATGGAATTGGGTGAACATGTGGATTCTGTCTCCTTTTTAAAAAAATAAAAGATAATAGAGGTTTTTTGAGTATTTGTTTTCTGACATTTAGCAGTGTTTTGATATGAAGGTGAAAACTAGCCATTTATAATCATCTGGATAAAGCAGCTACCACTGATGTCTTGTCAAGGTTCAGGTATGTTTATAAAGTGTGTTGGTTTGTGGGGTGTACGCCCTTTGTGTGAGGTAGGTTGTGTATACATATAGGCTGTTGCGGGGTGTGTGTGTGTGTGTGTGTGCACCCACTTGCTGGTTTTGATGGGAAGTATAAATTGGGTTTTGGAAAAAGATGCCCCCCACCACCTCCACTGTAAGCCTTCGCTTCTTGCTATTAAGATTTCCCTTGCAACTTGGCCTCTTTTAAACTCCTATCTCGTGCATTCTCTCTTCTAATCTAATACCTCCGCGTACATATCTAAACATGATCAGTGACAGTTTTCGCTGCGGGGTGAGGCTTTCACTGACAAGGCCAGTGAGCGCTGATTTGAGACCAGCCATTGTGAGTGACTTCAGCTGTCTCTTCAAGTGACATCCAGCTACTTGAGAAAGGAGCGATGACGAAAGTTCTTTGGACAGAAAACTTTCGCTGACAAGAAGGTGACAGGTCCTTGCACAGCTGGTCTCTGATATGCCTCGGAAGGGGCCCCCGGAGTGACTAATTTGAGCTTTGCAGTGGCTGGGAGGAGGCGAGGGGCCCATGCACTCTTAGGGCTTGGAGAAGCCTGTGAGACAGGCTGGCAGTGGACGCAGGCGGGAGGAACCCATTGTTGGTGGGCAACAGGCCAGGGAACCCCAGCTGCTTAGAACGCGAGAACATTGAAAATATCCACGGTGAACTGCCTGCCGAGAATCCATTCTCCCTTCTCCTGGTAACAACGCCTCATTTATCCCTTAGCAAGTTACCCCACCTCTACTGTCATTTGCTGGGACACCCCTCCCATGCTGGCTTCCTGGCTCCAGGGATTAGCCAACCCACATGCCCGTTCCCCCCACCACAGTGATTGCTTCAGGGAAGGGCTGGTGGCCCAAGACAGTCCAGTGAGACTCAGGTTTGTGCCTTTTGCCACAATTATTGGAAAAGTGATGCCTTTTCTCCCTGCAGTCACCAAACTGGATGGAAGCCTGGAATTTTTCGGAATCACCATGTGGAAAAGGTTAGCTAGAGGGTGAACCAACTCAAAGAGTAGAAGAGCTGAGAGAAAGAGTTCAGTCCTAATGAAGTTTGAGCCCCCGATTCAGCTGTCTCTGAAGGCCCCTCTATCCTAGACTTACTATTACAGAAATCAGTGAATTCTTCATTTCCCTTTTGCTGATTTAAACTGGTTTCTTGACAGAAAGATTTGTGGTTGATACAAATAGCTACCGTTTTTGAGTGCCCACTATGTTCTAGGCACTGCAAGGAGGCCATTTATCCTCACAGTGACCTGTGGGATGGGAACTGCTGGTGTCCCAGTTTAGAGGTGGGAAAATCTGAGACTCAAAGAGATTAGGTGAAGCCCAATGGTGGCAGCTAATAGGGGTGGCAGCTCCTTTTTCTGTGGAGAACAAATGTAGCATTGTGGGTTTTGGAGCCAGGCTATCTGGCTTTGAGATTTTGTCTTAATGCTTCTTAGCTATATGCCATTTAGAGGAAACTTAACTTCTCTGTACCTCGGTTTGCTCCTCTGTACAATAGAGATTATAAATAATTGCATCTACTTTAAGGTGGTTGCAAGAGTTACGTGAGTGAATGCATGTAAAATACTTGGAAGAATGCCTGGAACCCAATAAACACTCAATGCATGCTAGCTATCAGTATTTTCTGCGACCAGGAATGAGCTGGGGTGGCACTTTGGGGGCAGCTGTGCTCACTTAGAAAGGGCACTTCAAGAGCCCTGAGCACTTATACTGACTGACTAGACCTAAAGTTAATTATCCTGCTGATATGGGAGAAGTCTTAAAAAACAATGAGTGTCTTAAATAGGTAACACATTATGTTTCATTTATTTATGTTCCATAGTGTTTATGGAATAACTGCTCAGTGTCAGATGTTGGATTGGATACAGACATGGATAGATCAGAGTTCTTCTCTTCAGTAAAAGAAATTAAAGCACAAATAATTTTCACAGAATAGGGAAAGTGTGTGTGCTGTAAGAGAGAAGCAAAGCACCATGGCAGCTTGGAGGAGACAAGATCTGAAGACAAAAGGCAAAAATGAAAGGTTTCAGGGAACAGATGTTGGGCAGGCAGGATTCCAATGCACAGGGTTAGGGTGTTTCAGGAGAGAGAAGAGTAAGCACCAAGCCCTGAGGAAGTATGGGTCACACCTTTATATTGTCCTCAGTGGGGAGGAGCGTGTATATAGATCACTGCCTCATGTGCAAAGGGACAGAGGCAGGCAAAGCATGAGCTAGCGTAGGACACTCGCTAACCCAGTTGGAGCAGAAAGGCTGCAAATGTGAGGCTTGGGGAGAGGTGGGAAATGTGACTGGAAAGGTAGGCACAGACCAAACCATCTGAGCAAGGTTGAGTGACATCCTGACTGCCCTGGGGAGCCACGAAGAGTTCCAAAGTGGAGACCTCATGGGTGGGTTTATGTTATTCATCTCAGGACAATCGGCCGGGAGTGGGGGCACTCTGGTTGGTAGAAGGTGCCGAGATAGTGTCTGCCCAGGACAAGTTTATTTATTTCCCGTGGCTGCTGTAACAGATTACCACAAACTTGGTGCCTTAAGCCAACCAGAATGTGTTGTGTTCTCTCATAGTTCTGGAGGCCAGAAGTCCAAAGTCAAGGTGTCCACAGGGCCATGTTCTCTCTGGGGCTCTAGGGAGCATCCTTCACCGTGGAACAGGAGCGCTCCTGGAGGCAGCAGGCGTTTTTGGGCTTGGGGCAGCATCCCGCCAGTCTCTGCCTGTGCTCCACATGGCCTTGTCCCCTGTGCGTCTGGGCTCTCCCTCTGCCTTTCTCTTGTAAGGACACCTGGCATTGGATTATGGCCCATCCTAAATCCAAGATGATCTCATCTTGACACCCTTAACCGCATCTGCGAAGACCCTTTTTCCAAATAAGGTCACATTCACAGGTTCTGGGGGTTAGGATGTAGGCACATTTGGGGGCTACCATTCAACTTACCGTAGCAGATGTAGGAGTTTGAATAAAGATAGTGCAGTAGCAATGGAGATGAGATGATATATTTGAACAATATTTAGAAGATAATCGAGATTAACGTTTAGAATGATAACTATGTCCAAGACTTACTTCACAAAAACTCCAAAATGGGGAGGAAGTGGGTGGCACATAAATTAAACAAAATTGCCACAAGTCAAGAAACGATTGAAGCTGGGGGGTGTATGGAGCCATTATATTATCCTTTTTACTTTTGCATCTGTTTGAAAATTTCTGAAATAAAAACATTTCAAAAGAAAATAAACAAGAATACTCTATTTCCATGTTAATTACTTATTAATTAAATTTCAATGTTGGTTAAGCAACCACGGTTTGCCTGCCGTCTGCTGAGCCCCTAGTTGATGGACGTGGGGCGTCCATTGATTTATTTGTTTTTTCAGCGATATGACATTCTTGTTTCACCTAACAAACAGGCCTAAAGATTTACTTTGTGTGGAGGCACGCACATCTGTGACAAGATTTTGTCTTAGGATAAATGCCCTTTCATTACAGGCGAATGGGAAATTCAAGTTACCTTGTCGAAATCCATAGCAGTCAAAACCTATGACCAGCCCGGGCCTTGTTGCAAGGAAACTTTGTTTTTCTTAATCGTCTTATGTCACTTACAGGTAGGAATGAACGACAGCAGTCCCTTCCTGACTCCATAAACTGACTGTCACAGGGAAAGATAAGCCTGTTTAACTGCAGAAAAATGCTCAAATATTTTAATTGTCTTGTCTCCATAGCAGACGGTTGTTATCAGGGTGGAGGAGGGAGAAGAGGAACCCGGTTAGATATTAAATGCAGACAAGAGCAGGTGAGGAAGTGTGATTCTGTAGTTTAATCCACGTGGCTTTTTTTTTTTTCCAGATCTGTTTGAGTTTCATTGTAAAGCCTGGTATAAAAATGATGTCAGAAGAATGGTTTGCTGGATTATTTAAAAGCCTGCATACACCATTTACAAGGTATGTTGTTGACAGTTAAAAATGACATATCTATTATTCATGGGGTCCCCCCTGACATAGACGAGATTGCTTGAATTTGGCGTTCGTAGATGAAAAAAGAGGAAAGTAATGGAGCTTGCAATGTAAACCTTTGCTTAAATGTGTCTTGGACTATTTCGGGAGCTCAGTATTGCGATTTTCCAGAGGGATGACCGGCTCGGGGACATCCGAGTGATGTAAGCGCCACTGGATGGAGTTTCCTGTACCCTCCCTCCAACCGCTTATCTCAGTTTCTTTGCTATAATCTTCATTTTGGGGTCTGCCTTACTCTGACTGCAGTGTTGAGGAGCCCATATCCTGCACTCAAATCCCAGCTATGCCAACTGCTAATCTTGAAGCCTGAGTTTGGCTGCCCAGCCCCTCTCAGGACCGGCTTCCCGTGTTTAAAATGGATACAATGATTTCTAGCTGTTTCAAAAGTTGTTGAATTAAATGGATGCATGTGATATACTGAGCACAATGTTCGACCTATGTGAGTCACTCAATAAATGTTAGGTATTAGTTTGAGAATGAAGAGATACCCTGGGCCTCAAAGGCAACGAGAGGAGAGAATGAAATCCACCTGCTGAAGTGTGGTCTGCAGACCTGCCGCAGCAGCGTCACCACCAGGGAGCTTGTTAGAGGGATGCAGCATGTCAGGCAGCACCTTGCACCTGCTGAATGAACATCTGCAGGTGGACACGATCCCAGGTAATTTGCATGCACATTAAAGACAAGCGCTGGACTCCTGNTCTGCAGGTGGACACGATCCCAGGTAATTTGCATGCACATTAAAGACAAGCGCTGGACTCACTCCCANATTTGCATGCACATTAAAGACAAGCGCTGGACTCCTGTTACAGGATATTGTGAGGGAGGGTTTTTCTGTGACCTCAGAGCTGGAAACAGAGGTGTGAAGGATCCCATCCATTTCAGGGAGCTGTCCGTAATTGGAGCTGGATACTCTTCTGGACTCAGATTCCAGCCCAGCTTTCTGAGGGTCTACAGAGCTGACTCTCCCACGAGTCTAAATTAGCAGAAGCCTGGGAGTTGGGGACCCAATTATCAGTCAGGAGTTGGCTTAGAGTACAGTGGATTTGTGAAGTTTTCCTTCTGCTCCCCAAAAGCCCAGTAAGGGATATCTTTGGGAGCATCACGATTGAAGACTGGAGATTCTTGAAAGAAGCAGCAATAGGCATGCCATGCCCATTGCATGGTGGCTGAGCTGGGACCCTTAAGGCCCAGCCTGGTGGTATCATTTTACCAGAGAGGAGCATGGAGAGGGCATTCTTGGGAGACATTGACGCGGGTCCCCTGAAATTTGGGAGTATATATGAGCATAGGGAGTAGACGCCGATGCTTCTCTTCTTGAGCTTTCTGAAGTCAGGATGTGTTTGGGAAAGTAGCTGAGGAAACTATCCATCCCAGATCCTTGTGACCCTTGGGGAGCTCAGAAAAGGACCCAGTGGTTCCTTGGCTCCCTGTGAAAGAGCATGGAGTAAGAGGAGAATCGGGGCCTGCCGTGCTGCTCCCTCTCAGGTGGGGTGAGCAGGGCCATGGATCATTAGTGTGGCTGAACGGGAACCAAGCTTCCCACCTGCAGGGGCCTTGGTGATGGACATGGTCAGGACAAAGTTGTCCACTGCCCCAGAAAACCATGGCTCCTGGAAAGACACAGAAGCGGAGTCTCAGAGGCATTATTCAGAGGAGAAGGATTCTTGCGGGGGTGTGTGTGTCCTTGAGCTTTGTCATATCCTGGCCGTGTTAGCCCTTCCCTGGGGAAGGTTGTCTACTGCAGGAACTCCTCTTTGCTATTGCTTAAGTGGGCATCAATTTGGGACAATAAATTCATTTTGTTTGTATCGTAACTGAAACTACATTAAGAATATATAATCTGTAATGGGTATATAAGTAAAACCATGAATATATGTGTGCATATGTTTATATAAAATATATATCTAATATGTAACAGTGCATGTAATATGTACTGTTTTGGATCTCCTGAGGTGGTGCTGGAGGGGATGGGAAGGCAAAGCTTTCTCTCCGTGCTGGGAACTAGTATTTGTTGAGTCCTTGCTATGTGTCAGTTTCCTCTAGCATGTGGTAGAGCCAACATCTGAACTCAACTCTGATCCCTTTCAAAGTTATAGCTCTTCCAGATGAGAGTTGCTGTATTTTCTTCCCTTTCTTTGAAATACCCATCAGTTGAGAAATCTGATCTCTAACTGAGCCTCAAGTAGACATAAGTACTCTTTTATTTGGCCGGAGCCAAGAAAAGCAGCTGGGACTAGAGGTGTGCAGGGGTTGGAAGCCAGGTGTGCAGGATTGGTGGCCTTTGTTATGGTCCAGTAATTGAGGAGCACAGCTCAGCTAGCCTGGCCCACCCTCCTGTGGCTCTGAGATGGCTTTGGGGTAAGGTGAATTGAGGTGTCTGCAGTCCTGATGTGTAAATAAATCTATAGAGATAAATCTTAACCATGGAGGTGTAGTTCCACTTTACTCACTGTTTCTCATAGGCTTTGAGCAGTGCCAGTTGAACATTTGCCCATGAGGGCAGTTTGAGGCCTTTTGCTGAGCTGCATTTCCAGGGTCGGACCAGCTAGTGATGGAGCTGAGCCGGGGTGGATCTCAGGTTGGGAGCACTGGATTCATGTCTTCCCTTTGAGCAAGAGTTAAGAAGATATTCTTTCAGCCCTGGCCAGTGTGGCTCAGTTGGTTGGGTGTCATCCCATGCACCGAAAGGTCGTCGGTTTGATTCCCATTGGGGTACATGCAAGGATTGTAGGCTTGATCTCCAGTGAGGGCGGGTGGGGTCGTGCAGGAGGCAGCCGTTTGATGTTTCTCTCTCACATCAATGTTTTTCTCTCTCTCTCTCTCTAAAATAAATAAAACATATATA